CTGCGGAGTATGTCACGATATCAGGAAGAAAACCCATTTTGAGCATTTCTTCTAGAAAGCCAAGAGCTTCTGTTATCCTGCCACTAAAGCAAAGCTGTTGCACCATTTCTGTGCAATTCTTTATCCATGGTCTATGTCCATTGGTGCACATCTCCCTCAGTAAATCAGAAGCACCATTTGGATCTTTTCTCCTGCAAATGCCATAAAATAATGAATTATATGTGAACTCCGTGGGAATCACACCAAGATCCTTCATTTGGTTAAACAATTTGTATCCTTCATCTAACCTATCTGCATTGCACAACTCATAGATCAAATCATTAAACATCAATAGCTTTCCCTTGCTGCCAAAGCCAACCATATCCTTCACGAGAGCTAAGGCATCATCCAGCTTCTTAACCTTACAAAGGCCGCACACAACAATGTTGAAGGAATCAGAGTTTGGCTTCACATCCTGCACGGTATCAAACACATTTGCACCAACAGTCAAACCATCACTAATCCCCTGAACACCACGTACCCTTGAGGCGAGCAACTGATAAGCTGCTTCTACCTGCCCGTGGTTAACAAGCCCTTGTAGAACCACATTGTACAGTGCGGTAACATCACTGGGTTTTAACTTCCCGGCATTTTCATTGATAAACGGGCTAACAGTGGCTATATCTCCTTCATGAATGAAAGCCTCAATCATATTCTTGAGTAAACGGACATCAGGAACAACCTCACTGCTCTTCATTACCTCAAATATTTTCAGCGCTTTTCCTATTTGCTTCTGCCTGCAGAGACCCTCAATTAACACACCGTACATTGGCAAATCAGCAACATAACCATAAGCAGACATCTTGTCAAACATCTCAATGGCTTTGTCGATCCTGCGCTGTTTTGCAAACCCATGGACCAGCACACTAAGTGTCTTCTCACTCGGCCTCATCGCCAACACTTCCATCCTCCCCACGAGCTCAACCGCCCCGTCCACCTTCCCCCACTTGCTGAACGCCACCGCCAGCATCGTCAGCACATGCTCGTCCACCCAACCATGCTGGCTCATCCTCTGGAACACGTCGTTGGCGTCATCTGGGCGGCCTGCATTGCAGTAGCACTGCAGGAGCGAGGTGAGGGTGTACTTATCGACACTTCCATCGCCGCATGCCACCATCATCTCCCGGAGCCTCGCCTCCGCGTCGTCTGCGCGGCCGGCCTTAGCCAGCGCGTCAAGAAGGCAGTTGAAGGTGTACGAGTTGGGAGTGCAGCTAAGGCGCGCCCTCGCGCTGTCAAAGACGAGGGCGGCGGTGTCAGGAAGCCCGGCGTCGCCGAGGCAGCGGAGGAGGAACCCCAGCGCGCCGGGCGTCATGGGGCAGCCCGCGGCGAGCGCGTCGGCGGCAAGGCGGTCGAGGTGGGCGGGCTGGCGGCGCCGCAGGAGCGAGGCCATGGCGTTGAACGAGTAGCAGGAGTGGCGGAAGCCCGGCTGCTCGTCGGCCCAGCGGAAGAAGTCGAGCGCGTGGCGCCAGGAGGGGAGCCGCGCGATGACGGATTCCACGGCGGGCGCGGTGAGGTGGGCGGCCAGGCGGCGGAGGCGCTCCCCGTCGCGGGAGGCGCGCGGGCGGGAGAATTCGTCGAGCAGGTGGTGGGCGAGGTAGGACGGGGAGGCGGGCGCGGTCTCCGCTGCCTGTGGGAGAACAGTAGTGAAGGACTTGAAGGAGAAGGAAGGCGAGGACGCGCCGGCGAGGCGGCGGAGAGCCATCGAGACGGCCGGACTTTACGCAGCCGAGTGGAGGCGGAAGGCGGACACTACGCTGTCGGCAAGCGGCAACGAACGGTGGACTCTCGAGTTTTTCTCTTTCCTTTTTTTTTTTGGTCGCTTGAAGATGGGACTCGCGAACGGTGGTTAGAGTAACTCTCTGGGGTCGCCAGGCCGCGTTTTTCCCGCGGATTCACTGGACACTCCAAAAAACCGGCCCGACCAGGTCCGCTAAAAACGGCCCGGCCCATAAAACGTTTACAGGAGACCCGTAAACCGCCCGCGAATTCGCGATATATACCGGCGCCTGATCGTGTTTTAGGGTTCCCGTCCTCTTTCTCTTATCCTCCTCCGCCGCATTTCACCTTCTCCGATGACAAATCGCTCTCCCTCCAGCGTAGTTTTTCGACGAGCATAGCCACCGAAATCATATGCGTGACATTCATTTCTAGGGTGTTTTTTATGGTGAGGTCCCTTGTCCGTCGCGTCCAATTCCTCTTGTGGCTCCTACTCCGTCGATACTACTGGTTCTTGCTGTGGATGCTAATCGGGTTGCGAAGGATGCAGCTAAGCTTGCTGATGAGACTGTCGTTCGTGCTTATGATGAGCCGGTTCTAGCATATGAGGAGGCTCTTCGCACTTATCATGAGGCTCCGTCTGTTTACACTCATTGGCTTGATGATGATGCTCGTGTTGTTGCTGCTGTTCGCACTTGTGGTGTTCTGTTTCATTTTTTCATTGAGTTCCTAGGCCTTCCTATCGTATTTGAGATGTGGACCCGTCTTTATCAGCGCTATCAGCCCACTGATGATGCCTTATACATGTATGTGATCTGCCATGAGCATGCCATGGGTGACTCTAGTATTGATGATTTCTATGTACATAGTTCTACTATCCGGCGTCAAGTTGATTCTCTCCGCACTACTGGTTGTCGCACTTGCCAGTCTTGTCAGGTTGTTCTGTTAATTTGGAGTTTCATCGTGTCTACGAGTTCCTGTCTCGGCTTCGTAAGGAATTTGAGACCTGACGCGCTCATTGCGTGTGGCCGTATTTTCCTTATGGATGCGCTTTCTGCGATTGCTAAGGAGACTCGCTTACATGGCCTTGATTTACTTGAGGTTCCCTCTACGCTCACTGCTCGAGCTCCTGCTATGTCGCGTGCTGCACCGACTTCGACTATTTCTCGTTGCAGTGCTTTGTTGCTCTTGCGCATTTCTATTGGAGGTCAAGGCCGCTCTCATCCTCATTATGGCTAGTGCGACCAGGATGGTCATCCTGAGTCTCAGTGCTTCCTTAACAAGCGACACATGCGTAAGGTGCGAACATCGTCTTCAGGGACTCGTTCTTCTACTCCAACACCTTCAGCCACCGCGTTGACTGAGCAAGATATTATGAGATTAAGAGCATGTTTGGGACTGCTTCGCTTCACCAAACCAGTTTCACTCCACCAAATTCACTTTGGAGCAGTTTTACACAGAGGTTGTAGCACTACCAAAGAGAATGTTTGCTTCCATCTAGTTTCAGCTTCAAGAATGGGTAATTTCCTGGAAAGGATCTATTTTATTGAATGAAGGGGGGGGTATCCATTTGCTGATGGTACTGGTGGGTAATTCCCCCCCCCCCCCAACTCCAGCCTTTTTCTTAGAGATACCTCTGAATAGCTTCATAAAAAACTGGGAGTTGTACCCCAGATTCTTTTTTTTGCAAAGCGACATATCGTGGAGCTACCTTGTTTGACTTGTGTTTTTTAGAGCGGAGCTGAATTTTAAGGAGCAGAGTAGTCCCAAACAGGCTCTTAAGCATCCGCTTGCCGCTTCAGATTCTTCTTCGTCAGGTACTGCAGGTTTTGTGACTGATGCTTCCCGCACTGAGCGGCCACCCTCTACATAGTCAGGTACACCCTACTCCAAACACCATCAAACGGTAACAAGGGCGTTCGCTAGGAAACCTCAAAAATCTGACGGCAGCAGATAAGATTTTCCTTTATTATTGCAAATGAATTTTTTTTCTTTGAGAGTTTTTTTTTCTGAAAGCGTTTCCATTTTTTAGACAATGAACTCGTTTCCTTTGAGAGCTATACTTTTTTTTTTTGGGACAGTTTTGAGAGAGTTACTCTTTTTTTAGCAACTTTTGAGAGGTACTCCTATTTCAAACGAGTTATCCACCAAAACACGTTTTTTAGGCAAAACACTTTAAGGGCGGGCCGTGCTAATTACTTGGGCCGAAGTAACCAGCCCAGCTCGTCTAGCAATCCCATTCTTTTCACTGGGTCGCAGGCGACGACGCCGATGACGAAACAACAGCCGCCGCCGCCCGTCCAATCCCCCTTGCCAAACCCTCGACGAGCCGACCTGTGCCGCCGGCCGGTGAGAGCCCCTGCCGAGGGCGCCGAACCGGAGGAGGCGATGCCGCCAGGAGGTAGCGGAGGCGAGCACGGCTACGGGGAGCCGGCAGCCGCCCGCGGAGGCCGGGACGAGGAAGATCCATCCCGTTCTTCGCATCCGCCGCCGTCGCCGTTGCCGCCTGGCCTCGCCGTCATTCCCATGGCATCTGAGGTTTGCTCCCATCCTCCTTCCAATCCTAGGTCTAGGAGTTGACACCGGGAACTGAATTGAATTATTTATACTACCATTTTTAGATGGAGAAGGAGAAGGAACTGAAGAATGTGCGGCAGGAGGAGGAGGTTCCCGCGGCGAGCTTTCCGGCGGACGCTCTCATGGAGATCCTGTCACGCGTGCCCTGCAGGCCGCTGTGCCGCTTCAAGTGTGTGTCCAAAGAGTGGCTCGCCCTCTGCTCCTACTCCCACACCCGCAAGATGTCGCTGCAGACCATGTCCGGCTTCTTCTACAATGATCACGGCTTGCGTTTCCACAATTTGTCCGGAAAAGGTCCTCCCATGGTCGACCCCGACCTCTCTTTCTTGCGCAGCAGCTATAAGCATTTCTGTGTCACGCAATGCAGCACCAGCCTTCTCCTTTGCTAGTGCTGGAAAGTTCCCTATCCTAAGCAGCTCGGTTGGAATTCTCTTCCCAAAGGAAAAACCGAGCAATTTTTTGAATGGCCCGAGGCTGACGAATTCGATTACGTTGTCTGCAATCCTGCCACTCAGGAGTGGACTTCGTTGCCTCCTATAGAATTGCCTGATCACCTTCCGCTTTTCCGCCCAGGCAAATACTTTTTAGGTTTTGACGCGGCCATTCCTTCCCGCTTCGTCGTGTTTGTGCCCCTGAACTCATCTCAGACATATGGCCTGTCCGCGGACATGGTCTACTCATCAGATACAGGAGGATGGACTTTAACAGAGCACAATGATTTCAGTACATATTCAATTAGTTATTTTGAAAGCACCTTCCTGAATAACACTATGCATTTCCCTACTCGTTATTCGGAAATAGTCACAGTGGATATGGAAAGGAAAGATTGGAGGAAAATTAAAATGCCACGTGGCATGACAAATGAATATGGCGATGTTTCCATTGGGAAGTCCCAGGGACGCTTGTTTGCTTGGCATATAAAGGATCAAGGTGATTATCAACTCTCTATTTGGGTTCTTGAAAATTATGACAGCGGAAAGTGGACCTTAAAGTGTACTGTTAGCTGTTCCAAACTGTTTGGAACGGATTGTCGCGAAAATTACGAGTCCTACTCCATGTTCGCAATTCATCCAGAATGTAATTTGATTTTCCTTACTGACAATAAGAAGAAGACATTGTCATATGATATGGATAATCAGGAAGTGCATATTATCTGTGCTACTGGAGATTTCTTGGAAGGTCTACCTTACACTCCCTCTTTTGTGGAATGGACATCAGATGGTCACTAAAGGCTTGCAATACTTAGCATGGCTCTAGTGTCTTGGTAAACATCAGTTGTCGGGTATATCCCAATTCTTGAAGATGTGTGTTGGATTAGTCTTATGTAGCCATGAAGAATTTGTAACTGCCCTATTTTGCTTTCATGTAATAATTGTTGATGTCACTCTTTTAGCTTCTCGTATGGGGACAAATGTGAGATAAATATATTATCTATGTTTGAAATGTTTATTTTCCTGTAACTATATCTTCAGTATGCAACTTTCTATCCACCAATCTTAAATGTTGAGTTTCCCTGTTTTTATACATTTGGAAGATTTATCTGTTATCTCCTTCTGGATTGGCTTTTCGATGTGTTGTGTTATAACATATACAGTGGGTATAAAGAAAGCTTAGTTTCCTTTCAAGTATGAAACTTGCATAGTCTTCAATTGATGATATCAAACAATATGCAGCTTTACAAACCTACTAGAGAACTTACTTCACTAAGTCGGTATGTTTGTAGTTAATACCGGGTTAGTACCCTTCAAATTTGTAGCTTATGATTCTAACTGGACGTCCATTCTAACTCATGCTCCTCTAGTGTTTTTTTAATTCTTGTTTGGATTGAGCTTTATCCATAAACCATTTTTTTCGGTTCCTTAACTCTGGTTAGACTGTTGTATTTGGATTCTCTGGATCAACAATGGCGGGTTGAGAAGCTTGACAGTGATGATGTCTTTGAAGCCCCAAGCTAAACAGTCCTGGTTAGTACGGCCTCGGAGAAAACCAAATCTATTCTGGTAAATAATTCTCAAGATAACCTGCTAACCAGAAGTTTTGTAATCAATTTTAGGCAGCAGTTAAGCAAAGTGATGGGCCGGTAATCATTAGCTGTCTCAGGTGAGGCATTTTGTTTTTGAATCAAAGTAGCCCGTATTAATTGGTGCTCCTGAGATTTAGTTCACCAGTGCAAAACTCTGAGCAAAGGCGATAGAAATTCTCATTGACAGTGCCCCAACACGTTTTCGTGGCTAACAATATCTGGCAAGCGAAGGCGGAGCCTAACTACAAAGGTTTTACTTGGCTCATCCTCCATAAAGAGGGCTTTGATGGCAGACCGCCTAACGGGGCGAGGTTGGCCTAGCCCCATGATCAAGCTTGCAAGCTTTGCGACATGGATTCTGAGACAAATGATTACATTTGCACGGGGCTGCATGTTCTATCGGTGTTAAGGGATTGACGGATTGTCGCGGATTGGAAGGACCTCCAAGTAGGGTGAACCTCAGGGGTCGTTTGGAGCACAGGATTTGTGGAGGAATTTGAAGGGCGGGAGTTTCATAGGAGAGTTCCTTTGGCGCCCTCGGGAATAGGAAAACGAGATGAGAGAATTCCTTATTTAACACCGTGTCTAAATTTTACACCCTATTTAACATCGACGAGTAATTTCTTCTCTATTTAACAGCGAGTCTAAATTTTATGCCTTTTATAACACTTCTGTCTATTTCAAGCCTAGATGATACCTGAAAAGATCATTTTGCCCTCACGTGGTATGTTTATGTGCGTGTGTGCGTGTGCTATTGCGTGTGTGTACGCGCGCGCACGTGTGTGCTATTGCCGTGGATGTGCGTGTGTGCTGCTGCGTGTGGCTTGGCTATTGCGTGTGTACGTGTGTGTGCGTTGCGTGCATGTGTGCATTAATCTTGTCATATGTTATACAGTGCAAGTGTGGATCATGGGTGTGTTGGATGCTATGTTGAGCACTAGAGATAAGATGAGTTAGTTAGTCTGATAGTGCTTGACCGCATTTTGTACGCATTGCATGCAAGTCAGATTGTGTGGCCATTATGGTAAAAAAAAAGTTAGAGTAAACTATACTGATGGTGTTAGAGTAAACTATACTGATGGTCATTGAACTTACCGTGTATGCTCACTTTGGTCACTGTATTTTAAAATACAATCACTATATACGTGTTGAGATGATTATACAGTCACTGTCAGATCGTGTAGCTCTGTATTCCATCTATTTGACCGATCAAACAATTCACATGACATTTCTCGAGCTTATTTTCTCTCTTGTTGAGTATAATGTATATTAGGAAGTATAGAATAGATTAGGAGTTGTTCCTACCTTGTCTTATACTTTAAGTTGGTCATTGTATTTCTATATATATGCCCACGAGGCTCAACCAATACAATAAACTATTTCGGCAATCCCTCTCTCCCTTCTAACATGGTATCTATCGCAAGTCGATCCTAAACCCTAGCCGCCGCCGCTTCCGCACCTGCGCGCCAGCCCCGGGGCAGTCGGCCTCCATGACCGCCACCGGGGGCCGCGCCGCCCGTACCTAGGGTTCGTCCGTCGATCGTGTTGACCGGCAGCCCTAGAGAGTCTTTTCCCCGAGCCTTGCTCCGGGGTTTTCTCTCCCCCGCCGGTCATCTTGCTCGCGCAATTTCTTTTTGGTTCTTCGATCTATTCTTGATCGGTTTGCGTTGCCCATCGCCGCCGTCGACCCCGAGCGCCTCTACTCCGATCCCGGCGCGACCAGCCGACCTCTCCTCCGACCTGGTGGCCACGCACGCCGAGGTGGCCCGTCCTGGCCAGCCGCCGTCCGCGAGTCGGTCCGCCCGTCGCCCTGCGCCGGCCGTCACCGCCCTGCTCTGACCGGAACACCTGCATCGCCCCGACCCGGTGGCCTCGCGCCATGCGACGGCCAATCATAGCCGTCGCTCGCGCGCCGGCCCGCCCATCGATCCACATCACCCGCCTCCGCCGCGTCTGCTCGGCGGCCCGGCGGTCTACCTCGCCGGCCTCATCCTCGGCGGCGTCAGGCTCGTCGGCTGTGTCAACTCGGGCGCCGCTGCTCCGTTGGTCGCTCGGGCCTCACTGCCTGGGCGCCGGTGTTGCTTTGGCAGCCCGGATGCTGGTGCTGACAAGCTCGTCCGCACGACGTCCCACGACGTCCGTCGTCGTCGGCTTCATCTCGGACTCTGCCGCCATCATGCCTCCACCAAGCGGCGTCCCCGACCTCTTGTTAACCCGATTTGTACATACAAATAAGAGTAATAACATAAACTTTGAAGGAAAAAAATTGTACGGATAAAATCTAAAGACCATCTTTAACCATGCAAAGTGTGTGTGTGTGTGTTGCTACGTGTGTGCTACTGCCATCGCACTGATGCTGCATGTGTGTGCTACTGGCCCGCACACACACATATCACATGAGGGGTAAAATGGTCTTTTCAAGTCCTATTTAGGCTCAAAATGAACAAAAGTGTCATAAAAGACATAAAATTTAAACTCTTTATTACATAGGGAAGAAAAAGTTTTTCAGTGTTAAATAAGGAAACGAAATTTAAGATAGTGTTAAATAAGGTATTCTTTCAAACGAGATCCCGGAGTATTGGCTTCATATCCTTCAGGCTTGAAAAGAAAAGGAAAACCATTTGCTTGAGAGTTTGCTGCGGAGGTTTGTCTTCACTGAGGCAGCAGGTAGCCGCCTGCATCCAACAAAAAACGTGTAGTTATGCAGCTTGGACTGAGGCGGCTTGTGCAAGTTGCTACCGATGCTCGGAAGAAAATCCTATGCGATTCGGGTCGTACGCCCATGTCGTAGGACCCTCTCGAGAGGAGGACACTTGGCAAAAACTTTTCAACGCAAACAATTAATTCTCTAATTAATTTCAGCAACAAATCGCTAATCGCGTTCCGTCCGTCCCACTCTATTCCCACGCCTCCTAGTCCTTTCAGCTTCTACTCCTATTCATCTTCTCTGTCTCTTCCATCTCGCCGGCGACGAGGCCGCACCATGGCGCAGCCGGATAACGGCGACGAGGCACCAGAGCAATCAACATATATGGTAGCACATCCATCGGGACCTCCTCTGCCCACATCTCCACTCATGGTGAGTACAACCTTCTGCACGAGAAATTATATCCTTCTGAACCACGTTCGATTAATTTCAGTACTCTCGCAGCAGTCGCCATGAAACACAGTTCCACCATGGACGAGCAGCGCAACAAGAAACGGTCAGGAGTTTCAAGATGGAAATATGGCAGCCCATCCATCGGTGAGTACAACTTGTTGCAAACAATATATAGTGAGCAGATTTAATACAAACATGTCTTTCTTCATAAGCACGCATCTAAGTTTTGGTAAAGAACAGATTAATAGCATCAATCCTTTGTATAATTATTTATTTCTGAACCATGTTTGAATGATTACATTACCCTCGCAGCAATCGCAGAACACAATTCCACCGAGGATGAGCAGCACAGCAAGGAACGATCAGGATTTGCAAGATGAAAATATTGTTCCAAGAGTTGGGAAGACCTTTCAGTGTGAGGAAGAGGCATATCAGTTTTACAATTCTTATGCTCAAACCAAAGGATTCAGCATTAGGAAGTGCCACCTTAAGCATAGAGGAGATGGGACTTTAAGTTCTAGATATTTTGTTTGTAGCAAGGCAGGTGTGAAGAGCACTCATCCGACACATGTAGCCAAGAAAGAACAAGCTAATTCGAGAACTGATTGCATGGCTCGTGTTCAATTCAGCATCACTCGGGAGGGTATTTGGAATGTGCAGAAAGTCATGCTCGATCACAATCATCAGCTTGTAAGTCCAGATAAGAGGCACATGCTTAGATCGCAGCGTCAACTCTTAGATGCCGATCGCCATATGATTAAGCAGATGAGGACATCGGGAATTAAACAAGCTGAAATATATGATTTCTGTGAGCTTTGGTATGGTAAAGATGCAGTACCCTTCTTGCAAATGGATTGCAACAATTTTTTACGAAGTGAGCGCTCAAAGTATTTGGAAACCAAAGATGCTCAAACATTAACGGAGCATCTAAAGAACAAGCAAGCTGAGGACCCTTCGTTTTTCTACGCCATGCAACTAGATGATGATGATGGCACAATAATGAATATCTTCTGGACCGATGGACAAGCTATCATGGATTACTCTGTCTTTGGAGATGCCATTTCCTTTGACACCACATTTTCAACAAATAAGTTTCAAATGCCATT